ATTAATTTCAATTTCTTACTAATAAAAATGTCTTATTTTCATTGCATTTTAAGTCTTTTATTTTTCTTTCAAATTTTAGTATTCTATATAGCTAGTTAAACTTTCTTTTAGCTTCACATATAATGTACATTGTGTTTGGATAGGTTAATGTATAGAGCTCTGTGCCGGTTGTAGTATTAGTATATTCATGTAGTTTTTGACTTTTGGTATCTAATATCAATCAATGTATTTAGGTGATCATATCTTATTATTATAGCTTCTTGTCTATATTTTTTGCATTGCTTTGCTATTAGCTGTCATGTGTTTTTTTTAATTAGCGTTTTGATTTGCTTGAGTTGAGGGTTTTTCAGAAATAGTCTCTCTACCTCAGAAGGATAGTGATAAAGCCTACATACACCTATTTTTTGAAACCTCACTTTGTGAAATTTCAGTGAATTTATTGTTGTTATTGCAAGTACTAGTGGTGTGAAGTAGTGAAACTTAAGTATTTATAATTCACTTATTCCTCCTTCCTATTTCTAAATTATGTTTCACTTTGAAAGCAAGATTGTAATAATATATTGGTCTGCTTTTAAAATTATGTGCATATGATACACACAAAAAACGCACTCAAAATTTATTTCATTGTCAAAGCAGTTTCTAGAAAAGGACATTTAAATTAAAAAGGTAACATCATATGTACTTTTCAGTTGATAATAATATGTACTTTTCAGTTGATAATAATACTCAATTAATCAAATAGTTTCTCTTTCTTTTATTCTGTATTTTATTCTTAGTTCAATATATAATATTACTAGAATTCACAACAAGTTACATGCTATTAAAAAAAACATATTGGTGTACGGATCATATAAAATGAAACGAAGAGAGTAGTGACTTATTTTGATAGTGAAAATGGATTTATAACCTTATATACTTTAGCGTGTAAAGAATTTTATTATATCAGTGCATTTTAAAATATTGTAGCACGTAAAGGTCGCTAATTGCATTTTCTATGGACGATTATAGCATGTGGTGATAAAAACTTACTTCACCCGTGACCTGATATTTACTCCGACTTAATAGAATACATAACGCATGTCGTCACATGCACTCTTATTGCTAAACTATAGTTAGTTAATACATATTCCAAATTTTAATTTTAACTTATTCATCATAAATTAAAGTACTATGATTTGATAGAGAAAAAGGTAATTTTTACCTTCTTATAGTTATCTTTACCAAACCTCTAGAAAATAAAGATTTTGTCCTGTTCTACTCATTTTCTAACATTTCCTATGTAAAACAACATTGTAGGTGGGCACATATAGCAAGTCATTTGCCTGGAAGAACAGATAACGAGATAAAAAATTATTGGAACTCCTGGATAAAAAAGAAGCTAAAAAAACCTTCAAAGTCATCAACAAACACAACTTCTAGTACTGATCATCATCACCATCACCAGCAACATCAAAGATCTCCATTGACAAATTATAACACAATTACAAGCCAACAAGATATATTCTTCACACAAGACATTGGAACAAAATCTCAAATACTCCTCCAAGATTCTACCCTATTCAATTCACCAAACCAATTGTTCTTTTTTGATGGTGGTTCACTTGACTCAATGACAAATGTTATTATTAACGATGCCACAAATCGAAATGCTACTAATAACACCTCGTTATTTCAAGAAACATCGATATTGAACTCAGAGTTCTGCTGGCAAGTTGATCAACAACAAGTACAGACGTCTTCGTACGCGATAGGGATGGATTCAAATTATTTGCCCCCATTGATAGAGAGTATGGTACCACCAATGGAAATACCTAGTAGTAATAATAACAATAATATAATGTTGGAAGGACAAGAAAATAATAATGAATGGAATAGTCAAGTGGACACTCAACAATGTTGTCCAAGTTATCTATTTTGGGATCAAGAAAATGGATCAATTGGCGGTGATCATGAGATTATAGATCCAACTACATCAAACAATATGGGACAAATTTTATCTTCTTTTCCTTCTACTTTATGAGATGATTGAAGATTGATTTTTTTTTTTTTTTTATTTTGAATTATTTCGGGAGTTTTTTTTTTATTAATTGAGTTGTGAAATAGATTAGAGAGTGAAATGAAAGCATGTTAATTAATTAAAAGTGTTTCTTTGAACATATTTTCAAAACTAAAAGAGAGGGAAATAACATTGAGTTTTTCTATCTATGAGAAACGTTTCACTTATTCTTTAATTCACCTATTAGTATTCAAGTTTAAGTTATATATATTTATAGTTGGATATTTGTGTATTTTTTTTTTTTTACATTTTATCTATTGTAATAGACAATTTGATTAGTGTCAACATCATAATTTTATATTTGAAGGAGGCTTAAATTTTAAATCTTTTATATGACTTGATAGTGGAAAAATATAATTTAAACCAAGAAAAAATATAAGTCGCTCAAGCAATTTTACAGGACAGTACAACGTCGTCGAATTTTCTTAAATATGTATATTTAGATAAAAGCAAAATGAAAGTATATTTTATGTATAAATATTGAAAATGATACCGCTTGTTATTGTAGTGATTTATTCTATCTTATTCACTTCTTTTAACATTGATAGTGCTTATAAAAACATAAGTAAAAATATGAGGAGGTTTATGAAATTATCTTGAAAACATAAGTAAAAATACAACGCATCCTATATTTAGTAAGAACTAAGAATAAAATAGGTCCAGTTTGATTTAGACCAACTCTCAGGCTGGTCCATTTTAATGTTTTTTTTTCTTTTGGGCCTTGAGTAATAATATTCTGGGCCATTTTGTAGTTATCCCTTTATTATTCCAAATAATTGGTTTCTTTTTGGGAGTAAAGTAGTAGTAAATAATTTTTAAAAATATATTTTTATTATCTTTTTTTTTTCCTTGCAATTTATAGACCTTTAGACTATCATAGGCAGATAAAAGAAATATCCGAATTTGTGTTAAAGAGATTTCACTTTAAAAATAAATCGCTCTCTACCAAATATAATTTTATTCCAAGACTTAACTTCGAGACTTTTGAATTCTAACCAAGTCTCAAAGAAACTTATTGCCCTACCATAACTTTTGGTGATGGTTTCTTATATCATTTTAGTTCACTTTTCATTGGTTGGTTGCTTACAAGAATATTACCCATAGGCCATAGTGCAATTAGCTAGAGGTAGCAAGCATCACTATAGTGGATAAAGTTGTTTCTTTCTTAATCAGAAGCCTGAGGTTTGAGTTCTAGGTATAGAAAAATTATTGATAGGTAATGCTTCTTTCCAAATGAGGCCGAATCCGAATCAGTTTGGCCTCAATGCTAAAACCGAACACAATCGGAAAAAAAAAGAGATGGCAAGCTTTTTTCATTTCTCATTACGTTTTTGATATTTGTATTGAAATCCAATTAAATCCGAATTCGTGTCAAGAAATCTCCTAATGAGATAAAACGCTTTCAAAAACAATGATTTGATAATTCAAATTCAAATTCAAAACCTCTGATTAAGGACGATGATTCTAGTTCTACACTTGAAGACAAATCATCAAGACTTTGACCCCTTGAGAGAAAACTCAGAGGTAGGTGGAAATATGTACAAGTTGGTCTTTGGAATAGAACTTCCAACAAATTGACCTAAGAATTAATCTTCATTCAATTTCATTTTCAACTACTTTATCTAATTTAATAAATTTTTTTAGAAAAAATTATAAATCTCTATGTTATATATCCACGCGTATTAGGTTTTGGATGTTGAAAGTTTTGGTTTTTTTTTAGTACTATATTTCTTTTTTAATATTCATCAAGAAAGAAGAAAAAAAAAAAAAAAAAAAAAAAAAAAAAAAAAAAAAAAAAAAAAAAAAACGTTTTTGATATTTGTATTGAAATCCAATTAAATCCGAATTCGTGTCAAGAAATCTCCTAATGAGATAAAACGCTTTCAAAAACAATGATTTGATAATTCAAATTCAAATTCAAAACCTCTGATTAAGGACGATGATTCTAGTTCTACACTTGAAGACAAATCATCAAGACTTTGACCCCTTGAGAGAAAACTCAGAGGTAGGTGGAAATATGTACAAGTTGGTCTTTGGAATAGAACTTCCAACAAATTGACCTAAGAATTAATCTTCATTCAATTTCATTTTCAACTACTTTATCTAATTTAATAAATTTTTTTAGAAAAAATTATAAATCTCTATGTTATATATCCACGCGTATTAGGTTTTGGATGTTGAAAGTTTTGGTTTTTTTTTAGTACTATATTTCTTTTTTAATATTCATCAAGAAAGAAGAAAAAAAAAAAAAAAAGATGACTTTTGAACAAATTTAATAGAGGACTTGAACATTTTTTTTTTCAATGGAGTTTATAGAAAATCTTGACTATTGACTGGGATGTAAAGATTTAAGACTCGTTTGATAGGAGGGATAAAAAATACTAATAACTTTGAGATAAAATGCAAGATTATTTTCTCTTACGTTTAGTTAGGGTTATTAGACTATTAGTTAATTTGGAAATTATTTTATCCACTATCTATATAATACTATAATGAATCTTATGGAATATCCAAATCATGAGATAATTTTTTCTATCTCATCCTCATCGTAACAGATATCACTCTTAATGAAAAAAAAGAGAGAAATACTCGTAACTAAATCATCTGTCATGATTTACGTACATCCTCGCATTAACTTTTTTTATCTTAAAAATGACGTTTAAAATTTGTAATCTAAAATTGATTTGTGTGCGCCTATATCGATTCATTATATATACATTCAGCTAACTCTGCATAACATAGTTAAGATATGAAATTTGCAGAATTTCAACATGACCTCTAAAATTAATTCCTGTAATATTTTTATTTTCGCATTTCCCCGTATAGTGAAAGACTGAAGTTTAGTCCACTCAACTAACTTCACGCATTTTTCAAATTTCAATGCCGTGTCCAATGGTATAAATTCAGAAAAAAGTATATTTAAACCACCATAAATCGCCGACGAGCCTCCGTCAAACGCCGCTAGAACCCAGCGACTTCCTCTACCGGCTGCTTGGCACCACCAGTATTAACTAACGCGACGCCGTCGTCATGGCTAATCAAACCGGCGGAGCTTCAAGTACCGGCAGTCGTGATATCAGAGGAGTTCTCATACACGGTGGGCAGTACGTCCGTTACAATGTTTACGGCAGCTTATTTGAAGTTTCCAGCAAATACGTTCCTCCAATTCGTCCAATCGGACGCGGCGCTTACGGCCTTGTGTGGTAGGTTTCCGGTGAAGTTTTGTTTACCTATTAGTGTTGTTTTCGATATGCTATTTATGTGAATTGAATGGTAATTATGTGAAAAAAGAGCACAAATGGCTTCCTACTGATTAATTTTGCTCATTTTAGTAAATTTTTGGGGCTTTATATGATGGAGTAACCGTTTGTTATGTTCTGCTATTGGTTAGTGCTGCTGTAAATTCTGAGACGCGTGAGGAAGTTGCGATTAAGAAAATAGGAAATGCATTTGATAACAGAATTGATGCGAAGAGGACATTGAGAGAAATTAAGCTACTTCGGCACTTGGACCACGAAAACGTAAGTGTATTGTGCTCCTATATGGTGATGAGTATGTGAATGAATTTGATTGATTGCTTCATTGGTGGTAATTTCAATGTTTTGTTAAATATTCAGATTGTCGCAATCAAAGACCTCATAAGGCCACCAAAGAAAGAAGCTTTTAATGATGTGTACATAGTTTCTGAATTAATGGATACAGATCTTCATCAGATTATTCGATCTGAGCAGCCTTTGACAAATGATCACTGCCAGGTTTCTGTTCTTTCTTGACAATTCTGTTATTAGATATTTATGATTTGTGTAAAATGTGTACTTTTATTTTCTATTTTGATTCTACAAATGGTTGACATGAAGTTATGGTTGATTTATCGGAAAGTTGTGTTGTAGGATTTAGAAACAAACTCCCACATATATTACTTGAGCTAGTCTAGCTGCTGTTGTAACACCATTTCCTAGTTAATCAATTTGGATGAGATCAACGAAATCATGGAGAGAAAATCTTATGTTATTATGTGTTTATTGTTCTGTTTAGGGAAATTTATCAAAGTCAAGGGTGACAGCTATGTACTATTTTTTTTATTTGATAATTGTGGTGTCCGGCCTAGCTTGCGCGCACCTCACTAATTCCACTGTATACCTGCCACCTCCCACCAACAATAGGTACCAGGTAACTCTATCCACCAATGCTAGGAATAATGGGAAGAGATCACCTAGTGTTGTTTGTCTCTGCTGGGATTTGAAACCTAAGACCTCATGGTTCTCACTCGCTTCATTGACGTCTGGGCCACACCCTTGGATGCTAAGCTATTACTGTTTTCCCCATTTGTGCTTATACTATGACTACAACACAGTTGTTACTCTGTGGCACTATTCTGTAAAAATAAAATATGGATGGGATTTATTAGTCATCAGATCCTTAAAGATGTCAGTTACTGGTAATGATTTTTCGGAAGCATTTAGATGTCCATAAGTTCCTACAATAGATTGAAAAGGCGTGAATGAGTTGGTTTGTCAGTCTAACAATCTCTTCTGTTCTCCTGACAATGTTATCAATCCTGCTGGGGTGCCAGACTTGCATGCCAAGCTAGACTATTGTTTAGTATTTTCTCTTAATAGCATGGAGGAAATCCTAGAAGTTGGTCCAGCTTTCACTGGGAACATTCTAATATACTGCTTTCTTTCCTAGATTTATTCTGGCACACTGTTGTTACCTTATCTGGATTCTAATAGTTGGATAACATTTGACTTAATTTTGCAGTACTTCATGTATCAGCTATTACGTGGACTGAAATATGTACACTCAGCAAATGTCTTACATCGTGATCTTAAGCCAAGCAATTTGTTCCTAAATGCAAATTGCGACCTCAAGATTGGAGACTTTGGGTTGGCAAGGACAACTTCTGAGACAGATTTCATGACTGAGTATGTTGTTACTCGCTGGTATCGAGCACCTGAATTGCTCCTTAACTGTTCAGAATACACTGGAGCAATTGATGTTTGGTCTGTTGGTTGTATTCTTGGTGAAATAATGACAAGAGAACCTTTGTTTCCTGGAAAAGATTATGTGCAGCAGCTGAGACTCATTACTGAGGTAAAAGTCATGTCAATTCTTTCTTTGGTTTGCAATACATTTCCAACATTCTTTAGCTAGAACCTGTTTTTAAAAAATCATTTGGAAGCTTTAAAATATTGATCTGCTGACATTCTACCTGCATGTCTTGAAGTGGAAACGTTAAAAGTTAGTATTAGAAAATTGAGACCTGAAAAAACCTCCTCTTTTCTTTCACTTTTCCCCTCCTTTTAAAATTGAATCATTGCTCCCTTCTGAAGTTGGGAGTTGAGAGTGATATCCAGTGTCATAGCCAGTGCTATGCTGTAACTCCATGCAGACAATGCTTTCAAATGTTCATTGAATAAGTAAGTGATTATTAGTGTCATAGCCAGTGCTATGCTGTAACTCCATGCAGACAATGCTTTCAAATGTTCATTGAATAAGTAAATCATTTTATATTTTCACAACGGGTTCAAGAAAAGGTCTGACTAAAAACAGCCTTTCAGTATAGACGGGACTTGTATTTTCTGCCTCTGAAGCAGTTTGATCAGCTTATCATTCCCAGCTTCAACTGTGTTTCTTCTGTCGTGAAGCTACTAGGTTCACCTGATGATGCCAGCCTTCAATTTCTGAGAAGTGATAATGCCCGAAGATATGTCCGACAGCTTCCTCAATATCCTAAGCAACAATTTTCTGCAAGATTTCCCAGCATGTCTCCTTTGGCTGTCGATTTGCTTGAAAAGATGCTTGTTTTTGACCCAACCCGTCGGATTACAGGTAAAGCACCAAAAGATCTGACCTCAACCTCTGCATGATATGTTTTCCTTTGTAGTTCATCATGTGTTTACCTCATGTGTGTTCGGTTATGTGCAGTTGATGAGGCTCTTTGTCACCCATTTTTGTCATCTCTTCATGACCTCAATGATGAGCCGATTTGCCCCAGGCCATTCAGTTTGGATTTCGACGAGCCCTCAATCACTGAAGAAAAGATCAAGGAACTGATTTGGAGGGAGTCCGTGAAGTTTTACCCGGACTTTGTTGAACAAAATATATGATGGATTGTCCTGTTTTGTATCATATGTAGGACATATTTTTCTTCCTTTAATACATTGTGTAAGTTATGTTTCACTGGAGGAGAGAGCTGAATTAAACCAATATCTTGGTTTAGGAGATAAAACAATTCCTCCTAGTGATATGAGATGTAAAACATGCTTATTTTCATCTATTAAATTGTTTAATGACTATTCAGTCTTACCACATTGTGGACTAGGAATTCTTGTAAAACACTGAAATAGCTTTGTTACGGTTCAACACGCATTCACCAACAAACTTTTTTCTTTACTTTATCTTGAAATATTGGCTGCATAAATTCGTGGCATTCACAATATATGTAACAGTTACAGATATTAGCATGTCTCGTCCACAGTGAACAGGGATCGCCAGTATATATTCATGGACTGTTCGGGGGTGTGAAGCAACAGAACAATTAAAGTGGGTATGATATCGTCTTCCATCTGAAGAAATTCTTATTACATTGATGTATTAGTTATATATTTTCTTCCTGCAGGAACACGTCTGAATTTCCATATCATCAATTGGTAAGCTCTCTGTTGGAAAATTACAGGGTGAAGCGTACTCCGTCCCTTGATCTGGCAACAAATCACAAGGCTGAGGTACCACACCACTTGAGATCCCGGAAATATCTGTACAATTCCAGAAAAGTTTCTTTGCTTTAGGCGCCATCTCTATCGTGACATTTGATATGCAGATTCCAGTAAACGGATCACCAGAAATTCCTGCAAGCTTGGCAGCAATGGTCACGTTCTCAGCAACCATATCGCGGTAATTGATGTTTTCAATCACAGGTAACGCGTTGGGATCATAGTTGTTGTCTGGATGAGAACCATAATCTCCCGTCATCCAGAATACGTATTTCATTGTTTTCATTGTCACGCCTCTAACATATATATCCTTCACGTATCCGCCTCTTCCTACTGCAGTCTTGATTCGAACCGCTGATTCTGTATTGATTGCTACAATGTCCTCTGCTCTTACATCTTGAATTCCTCCTGACATCTCACTGCCTAATGCAATTGTTGCACTGGTTGGAGAAATGCAGGTGATTCGCCTTATAGCTAGCTGCTTTGTTGGCATCCCAAAGGCGATTCCATACTCGTCCCAACCACTCTTAACAGCAATACAATCGTCTCCGGAGACAATGTAACAGTCTTCTATTCTAGTATTTATGCAAGAATCTGCAAGTAAGACTCAGTTTAATAAAAAACAACTTCATGCTATTAGGTTGGCTATATGAATCTTGACTTCTTCATTTAAGCTCATTTCATAACATCAGCATACTTAAACACTAACGGAAGATTACCAGGGTTAATGCCATCAGTATTTGGAGATCTGACCGGTGCAAGGATAGTGATACCTTGGATGATAATGTTGCTGCATTTCACAAAGAAATTTAACTTTTATCCTCGGTAACTATTGAATTAGAAGTAAATAATATTGAACTTTGTGAAATCAAGATTAATTTGGTTACCTGCAATATACAGGATGGACATTCCATGAAGGAGAATTAATCAAAGTTAGACTGGAGATCTGAATATTATCAGAGTACATGATTTCTATCAGGTAAGGCCTTGTAAATTTTAGTTCTCCATTGTGGAATTTGTCCCACCATAGCTGCCCTTGCCCATCAATGGTTCCATTTTCACCTGTTTGAATTTAGAGTATCAGCGACAAATATTCTAATTTTTTATGTGAATTCAGACATAAGATTTTAAACTAGAATGTAGCAGTGACATAAAATGAAACATCATAAGACTACCTGTGATGACAACATCAGTGAGGTTGGATCCAAAAACAAGACTAATGAATCTACCGCCGTCTGTATCCCTTCCTCGGCCGTAGGACGGCAACGGTGCAATCACCGGATAATCATTTTCATCCTAAAGAACAACAGGAAATCAGTGATAGAGCAGGATAAGGGTGGCCGAGTTGGTTCATATTTTCATGTGGTGTTTGGATCAACTTATGTATATCTCAATTATTTTCCTGTATATTTATTATCTTCTACTAACACTTAAGGGTAGCAGAGTTGGTTAAGCAGGGATCTTCCAAATGGGGGTCTTAGGTTCGAAAACCCCTGCATGCTTTCTCGTTCGAGCTAGCTTGTCGCACCAGGATTTGTGGGTTATTATACTGAAGTGAGAGGTTTACCTTGTACGCATCTGAAGGATAGCTAGCGATTGCAAATTCTTTTGTCATCGAAGAGATATCGAGTAAATTTTAAAGATTCTTGCACCTTCCCCAGATGCTACCAACATTACTTTGAAAGACCCTCCATATGGTAGCGCTTAAAATGTGATCCTCAGGTTATAGAAAAAGGACAAAATGAGTTTTTTTTTTTAACCGAGAAATCCGTCTGTGACCGACCTGAACCAATCACAGCCTTCTAAACTCGATAGATAATGGGCCCGCCCCTCTACCCTTCTCCACTTAAATACCGGGCTTTGCTTTGCATGGTGTGGGGCTTGAACCTGCGACCTAAGCCACAAATCCTCCACCTTTTGCCACTCAAGCTAGGCCTTGGGGGCAGGACAAAATGAGTTCACGTGATGAATAACTCTGAAAATACAAGAAGTATATTCAGCTTAATCATCAGCATAATTGGATAAAAACTGACTGTTCCTTAAGATTAGTGGTTGTAACTTTTTCACGTCCTGAAATGGGTTCGGGTTATAATCTACATGTATTTCGACTAATTCAATGGATACTTGCTACGTTTTATCCGTACATGTATTAAGTAATTCTATGTATCAAGACTTGAATAAAATAAGAGTAAAGTAAGCTTTTTTTTCCCTTTTATTTCAGTCTTTGTATACCTTATTCTTATGGGAATGCCTTGAATTTTTTTTAGGGAAAATTGTATATAATAGCAAACTATTAATTCTAATTAAATGTTATAAATATAGTTTGATTTAATTGTACCTCATAGCAAACTGTTGCTATTTCACCTCTCTCCTGGTGAATCTCGCTCGCCACTCGAGTTCTCTTCCTCACCTCTCTCGTTTTTTATACAAACGCAAGCGTATAAAGTGTGTTTGTGTTTGTATAAAGCGAGAGAAAATTGTATATATACATATATTTTCGTTCCCCTCTCTCCCCTCTCCCAGATCTCGCTCTCTCACTCGCCTCTCTCACTTTATACAAAAACGCAAATGTATAAAATGCGTGAAAATTGTATATATACATATATTTTCGTTCCCCTCTCTCCCCTCTCCCAGATCTCGCTCTCTCACTCGCCTCTCTCACTTTATACAAAAACGCAAATGTATAAAATGCGTGAAAATTGTATATATACATATATTTTCGTTCCCCTCTCTCCCCTCTCCCAGATCTCGCTCTCTCACTCGCCTCTCTCACTTTATACAAAAACGCAAATGTATAAAATGCGTGAAAATTGTATATATACATATATTTTCGTTCCCCTCTCTCCCCTCTCCCAGATCTCGCTCGCTCACTCGCCTCTCTCACTTTATACAATTGATCTTTTTGTATATGTATACCAAAGCAGATTATACAACTGTTTTTTTTGTATATGTATAGCGAATTATACAAACTTTGCTATAGCATACAAATATGAATTTTGTGTTTGCTATATTTGAAAGTTGCTCTTTTTTTTATACCTAGCTAATAAGATCCACTGATTGATTTTTTATTTTATTTTAGGAAACAATTATTGAGTTAGAGTTACGGTGGAGTTGGACTTAATTAATTGAGAGACATTCTCACCGCTAAAGTAGTGCAACTTTTGTACTATTCTCAGTGGGTTGCCTTCATTCACGGACTGGAAAATAAGGTACAGATATTAAATTCATATGACACTATTTTCGTTGACACCTAACTATATTTAATAATGAACTATCTAATGTTTTCATAAAATTAAATTGTATATGTTATTACATCCTTTTTGCAAATCTATTTTATCCAGATTCCAGATAAGAATTCCTCCTTCCATCAATCGTAATTAGGGGGTGATAAATGCGCGATTTGAGCTAAATTTTTATTTGGTTAAAAACGAATAAATTATTGTCTGATCCTACTTAAAGTTTACTTGGACTGAAATGAGCTGATCATATAAGCTAAACAATAGATTATAATTAATCTCGCTCAAATCTTACTAAGCTTTAATTTCTTTTATTTCCTTATAATATACTTAATTATCAAATAAAACTAACAAAATATTTTTTTTCCTCCTTTTCAGTATAACTCTATATAATTTATCAAATAAAACCTTTTTGAATTAAAATGTTTTTTCAATGAATTTCATATGTCAACTTAGACTAAACATTTGGTTCAAATAAGCTCAACATTTAGATGAGCCGGGTCAAAACAATTTAGTCACTAAGTAGGTGGATAATCAATCCATTCAAACTTAAACATTGAACGTTTAGATGTGCCGGGTCAAAATAATTGAGTTGCTTAATAGGTTGATAATTAATCAAACGTTTAGATGAGCCAGGTCAAAATAATTGAGTTGCTTAGTTGATAATTAATTGTTCAAACTTAAACAAGTTGGACTGCGTAATAATATTGTTCATTCATGCATTTCGAAATTTGATGATAAATTCAAAATTGAGAAATAGGCAAATGCACAAAAAAAAAAAAAAAAAAGTTACCTGAGAGGCGAGAAGAACGGCGTCTTTGTCGAGATACAGAGTAAAATGGCTGGTCAAATTGAAACTCCCCGTCAGCCATTTTCCGGCAGGTACATACAGCATCGAACCGCCGTCCGATTGAAACTGGCTCAGGTGATCAACCGCCGTTCGAAAAGCGTCAGTATTCAACGTCGTTCCGTCGCCGATTCCGCCGAAATCCGTCAACGATGCAGTGTGTGCTCTGCAACTTATGGCGGAGTACTCGACGGTTTCCCATTTGTGTACTTTGTGCCGGCCGTGAACATTACCGAACGCCGTTAAAATCACCACGGCGAGTAGTAAAACTCGGCGAATTGCCTATCAGAAGAAGTTAATTCAATTAAAATGCGAAAAAAAAATAGAAACTAATGAGAAATTGGAAAGAGAGAGAGAGAATTTACAGGAATGTGTGTGAGAGTACTAAGTGGAAACTCCATTGTTATGTATGTTGGGATTCACGGATTTGTCAGACATATATACAAAACCGTTTTAACTTTTATAAAACGTCTCTCCATCTCCGCAATGAGATAAGATTCGCGTATATTCTATCCCGATATTTCATTAAATATATTATTGTTATAATTGTTACTAACATGACATTTCAAACTTGTCATAATATTTATACAAGAATAA